CGTGCAATCGATCACTAATTCTTAAATATTATTTTTTATAAATTATATTGTAAAGCAATAAAAAAAAATAACATTTGTAAATGATTATTGCCAAATTTGATTCCTAAATTAGACTTAGTTAATATATTTGATATTCGTATTTTTCTTTGAGCAACAAAAAATTTATTAAAAACCTAATTAAAAGTATAAAGAATGCCTTAAATTAGGACAAACAAAATAAAGTACACCTAAAATCGCAAGAGCAACATACAAAAATTATAAAAGTAGCAATGTTCTCAGGTGAAAACAAGAAAACATCACACACAAAAAAACTACAAAGGATAGTCTCCGATATTCGACATTGTGACCTGTCAAAACAAAGATGATCAACTATCCACAACTATACAAAAATACCATAAACCCAACACAACCTCCAACACAAGTTATGAACTCTTTTTAGGAAATTTTTTTATGCATCTTAAAGGATTACACATCGATGCAGTCAAAGAGTAATGAATTATTTTTTTTCCTTGCTTTAAGCCACTTCTACGAATGGATCTTAACATATCCTCCAAGATCTCAAATGTTGTCTTTTGTTGGTTTTTGAAGATCATAACATTACAGTTCAACCAAATAAATCTTGGGACCGCAAATCAAACCACCATCCAATAATTGACATCAATACCATTTCCTCCACATAGATCTTGAAACAAATTTAATACAAATTGTGTAATATTACAATTAATGCAAATTTAAAATAGACACTTATAATTATGTTAAGTATAGTTTCACAATGGTTACAATTTGTAATATTCTTAAAAAATGTTAGGAGTAATGTTTACAAAATAAAAATATTGGAGGCACAAATTGCAAATAAATACATATTTGTTAATTTGTATTTTAACAAACAATTGAGTCGAGAGATATATAATTGATAACATTTTAAAAATTTAGGTACAAAATTTGTGAATAAGTTATTTAAAGATAAAATACACTACAAAATAAAAATTTAAAGTCTGAAAATGTAAAGCTTTTTCCCCCCGGTATATGTATCTTTTTAATTCGTACATAAAAATAAAATGGAGTCTAATTATCACTGTTTATAATATAATGAGGACTTGAAGAGTGTCTCATGAGAGGACAAAACCAACATTGTGTTTTTTGTTCTCCAACAATATGCCATCATATATTTTCCTCCCCTTTCCACGTAATTTTTCCACTGTCAAACCCTTTACTATGCTCAAGTCACATTGCTGAGGAGTGAGGAAGGTCCTCTTAGTCATATTGGAACAAAACAACCCAAAACCCTTCAAACGGAGTGAGCCTTTGGAAAGTTAAAACTCTTTTTGAATTGGAGGCGAAAATGATCGGCACATGTTATGACTTATGAGAGAGACAACTTTTCCTTGTTTATATGCGTTCTACCTGCCATATATATCTATAACCATATCCCCAACCCCATTTTAAATTACCCAATAATAACTTGTATGAATGTTTCCCTCAGTTTGATGATCTTATACACTGAACTTGGTAACTGTGTAAATAATTAACATGGACCAAATGGTATATTGTAGCTGGGGTCAAATATGAACGTCAGACAATGGACAAATAAGAATCTGTGATGTTACTTTGTAAGTTGTTATGATGGACTGTCCTTTCTGAAAAGCTTTTAAACATATTTTTCATTTTTATCAAAAATTCTGCAGGTGTGTATAAAATAGTGACATGAAATCTGGGATTGACAAAGATAGATTAAACCATATAGTGTGTAATAAAATTAAAGGAGTTGGATGAATCATCAGAAGTCAATAAAGTTGATGAAAATTTCAAGTTCTCCCTCCCTTTTCTAGATTGCTTTCCGAGGTTAATTCAATAATTGTCAAACAATCATTCTAACGAATCCTATTCTTCCTCCTTTCTACAATTCATTCTATTAATCACAACAATAAACTTTTAGGTTAAGAAGTTAAATGATACCATATGGATAAAATAATATATAATTAATTAATTAGCTTCTTCCAAGTTATATAATGCAATATTTTGACCAAAGATGTTAATTTGGACAATATGTAGGAATTAATATTGATTTCATTGTTTTTCTTCAATTTAGATATGCGTGCAATCGATCACTAATTATAACATAACCTCTCGTGTTCCCGCCCCGTGCATGGAAGTCTAAAAGTTGTAGTCAAGATTCTAGTCACGGCTCATGCACTAATTAAAAAGTTCCATTACAATTTGTCCAACGTGCATCTATGATATTATATTGCAATCAGCATGTAGTTGAAAGTCCCTCAAACACTAAATTTTACACGTCCTTGTTTATGCACATTTGCCACCAAAATTGACTATTTTAAAATCCACACACCCCCAAATTACTGCATTATTTAGGCTGTCCAGTTGCTAATGCTATGCCAAAAATCAGACGTCATAGTTACACACACATGGGAAGGGGGCCTGTGGAAACATGTGTTACTATTAAAAAAAATAAAGTAAAATTAAAACAGTGGTTCTGATATAGGGAAAAAGTCTTAGTTTAGGTGAGAAAAATATTGAAATGCCGATGCAGGATTGGGCCCCCACCCCCACAATACTTGCACCAATATTGAGGTTATAGCTATCATGGTGAATGTTTGACAAAATACATCACCCTATAACAAAGTGAGGTCTCTAACACAGGTCAAACAATTAAGATAATCACGAGCGCGCAAGAGAGAGAGAGAGAGAGAGGTAGATTTTAACAACTGTCAAGGAAAAGAGAGAGAAGAAAGGTGGTAGTTGTCACATGATTTCCAACAGTACAAAAGGGACCAGCCGCATCTGTATCCATTATGTAGGTTTATTACAATTTAAAGAGAACAAGTAGCCTGTCCGAATTTTGTTATTCTCAATATTTTCTTTTTTCTTTGGAAACCAAATACCAATATCATCTTGTTATCAGTCTTAATTAATTCTGCTGTTGAATGAATGAATAATTTAGCAAAAAGACACCCCTAAAACCAGGTATCAGTTTTTATATATCCCCTTTCTTTCTTCCTTCCCTTTTCTCTCACACTCGCTACCCATAAAAACAGCATATGATCCAGAACTAATCCACTTCAGTCTGTTTATGAATCGTTCCTTAAGTCTAGCTGGGCGGTCGAGCCTTCTGAAGATATCTGATTTGAAGATAAATGTTTGGATACGCTGTTTCACACAACACATGATTCATCAATAGCTAGACTTGGAAGAGATAGACATCATCATCTTAGATGGTTAGTATTGTTATTTATGGGAGAAAAATAGGATAAGCACCTAATGATTATGTAGTTTTCTATGCTTTTGCTATATTTGTTTCTTTATCTTTTGATCAACTAATTAATTAATGATCTAATCTATATAAATTCTTCCTCTTTATGAGTTTCTTCCCCTCTCCCTTTTAGGGTTTTCTTAGGATCATGAATGTTCCTTAGTTTGTTTTTTCTTCTTACGATACTCTTGTGGTTCCTCCAATCCCTACAGCTTGTTGTAGATTTTAACCAGTTCCTAATTAACTTCTGTCCCAATCCCAAAGATAATTTTTTTTCCCTTCTGGTGCATTTTTATCGATCATGCAAGAGGTTTTTTGTGTATGATGAGTAACACTGTACGTTGAGTATCTGTCTGATCTATCTAATCATCATGTGATCATATATGATATATATCTCTTGCTGTTATATGTGTGTGTTGGACACCTTGTTTTTATCCAGACAATCCATTTCATATAAGATACTCTAAAATTTAACGTATAAATAACCTGACAATTAATAAGTTGCATTGGCTGGTGAATATACTGCTTTTCAAATTATATCTCAATCCTTTCTTCTGTTTGTCAGGAACTAGATAGGATGGAATCTGATGTTATTAGTGGTTAAATGAAAACCATTTCTGGTTGAGCTGATTGACTTAAACATAGTGAAATGACCTAAACGAATTCGTGTTGTTTGAATTTCTTCGACTCTTAATTTAATTTCTTACCTCTTTCGACACGAATCTCGAGTATTCCATAACTTGAATTTGTGATTCACGAAAGGTTCTTATAAGGCAAAATTTTTAAATATGTAGATCTGAACCTCGTCAGTCATTATGATATTTTTCACCGCTTCACGGAGGAGAAGTTGGATGCATTCTTTACACTAAAGTTCCGAGTCTCTGACTTTCGAACTACTTATATTTATACAGCAGTATTTATATGATACAAAACTTGTATATATGTAATGTGGATCTATAATAAATGTCTTTTGCCATAACTTCTCACTGTTACTTTAACATCAACTCATAGCATTTCCGTGCAGCTGTTTTAAGAGATTTAAAGTATAGTAATTGTTGTTGAGAAATTACAGCCTGTCCTCACACATTCTTGTTCACATCACTTTAACATGCTTCATATTAAAATATTTCCTGTTTGTTTCAGAATTCAGAGACCTGAAATTCCAACTTTGTAAAAGACAAAGAAGTCAATATATATTACATTGGTTGGAGGTAAAAACCCGTGCAACAACAAATAAACATGTCAGAAGGGTATGAGATTCACAACAATGAAGAAACTTCATCTGGATGTTCTCAGAAATGCTCTTCCTTTGACTTGAATGAAGAATTAGCTTTCAGTGAAGATAATAACAGTGATACAGAAGAGGGGTATGAGGTCACAACTAAGGAGAATGAGAAAGAAAAGGATGAGGGCACTTCAGGAAATGGAAGTAGTACATCAAGAGAAGGAAGTGAGAGAAGAGGAACGGTGAGACAATATGTTAGATCAAAGATGCCACGGCTTCGGTGGACTCCTGAGCTTCATCATTCATTTGTGCATGCTGTTGAAAGACTTGGTGGCCAAGAGAGTAAGTGTATACTATTAATTTCTGTATCTACCAAAGCATTATTTATCAGAAATACTGAGTTGTAGGAATTATTGTTATAGGTTTGATTGATTGAACACTGTGCTTTACTTGATGCAGGAGCAACACCTAAGTTGGTGCTTCAACTAATGAATGTGCGAGGACTCAGCATTGCTCATGTCAAGAGTCACTTGCAGGTAGCACAAGTTGAGGTTTGAGATACATAAATACTCTTGGAATTAACTTTTTCCTTGAACTGCATTGTTTCTGCACGTATAATAATGTGCAAACTAATCTCCTCGCCATTAATTACTCCATTTCAAATAATTTAACAAAAGTTTGAAAAAAAATATTTATATTACGATATAAGCTCTTAAGCTGGATATTTGATTCTTCTGTAAACTGGTTTATATATATATATATATAGGGGTTATAATTACAACGGTGTAACTCTTACTAATTATTACATCGCTCAATAACTTTATATTAAATGTGAATTTTATAAATCCAACCGTTAGATTGAAAGTTCATATCACTTTATATGTGTATATCAAATTTTTTTAAAATTGAACAACAACTTGAAGGTAATCAAAGTATTCATATTTTAGTGTATTTTGAAATAAATATATTATATTAATTTTGTTTTATAAAAATGAAGTATCAAATCATCTTGAATTAATATAAAATTTTGTATATATGATCTAAGAGATATGAACTTTCAATCTTGGATTTACAAAATTCACATTTAATATAAAGTTATTGAGCGGTATAATATTTAGTAAAAGTTACACAGATGTAATTATAACTCTCCTCATATATATATATATG